TCTGATGCTGTCAGATGAACAGAAAGCTGTTTTACATGTCTATCTATAACATGACTCGCTGCAGACAGACAAAAAACAACCCACAATGCACCTGGACGTCAGATGGTGACAGTAGAAACTCGATATACTCGCCTCTCTCGTCGCTCCAGCTCGTTCTCCGAGGCGTTGAGCTGCTCCCTCAGCGCCGCAATCACCATGACGGCCACGTCCACCTGCCGGCTCAGCGACCGCTCCCTGTTGGCCACTTCCTGCCTCTCCTGGGCCAGGTGCTGCGAGTGAGCGCGCTCGCACAGCAGCTCCGTGTCCGTCTGGGCCAGCTCAGTGCTCACTTTAGCCAGCCGGCGCTGCATGGTGCTGTCGGCCGCCCGCAGGATGTTGGCCAGCCGCCGGCGCACCGCGGCCGAAGCCGCCGCCGTCTCCAAACCAGAGTAGGAGTTCTGCTCTGGAGGACACAGCGGCAGGAAGTGAGCGCACATAGAGTGTGTTTGGTTCTGGAAGAATGATTACTGGTCATACATGTCTGTGTAGGTTCTGGCATTAGTTGAAGCTTCAGGAGAAAACAACTGGACTTCTCTGTTCAGGTCTAACTAGCAGTCGTCTTGTTGTCTTGGGTTTCTTTCCAGTCAATCTTAACCTCTTTGTGGTTCTAAGTGGATTCTTACATCACTTTGTAGATTTGGGGTTTCTCTTCTCCATCATTTAGAGTTTTGATGTCACTGTCATCTCTTTGTTAAAATCCGTCCATCCATCATCTCTACACCTTAATCCTCAGTAGGGTCGTGGGGGGCGGAGTCTATCCCAGCTGACTCAGGGTGAAGGCAGGCTCACCTGGACAGGTAACCAGTCTATCACAGGGCTCTTTGCTATATGTGACTGCGGTTGTCCTCTTTTAAAGGATTTAGTGTCTCTTTGTGGTCGTTCTGCGTCTCTTTGCATCATTTTCAGGTTCTTTTAGGTCATCTGTGATTTTGTGCTCAGTGAGTCCTTTTCTGGTCAATTTCTGTCTTTGTGGTTGTTTTGAGTGGCTTTTTATATCACTTTGTAGATTTCTAATGTTTTTTTCCATCATTTTGAGCTCATTTCGGGGAGTTTGTGTCTCTTTGGGATAGTTGTGTTTGTGTTTTTGTGCTCACTGAGTCTATTTCTGGTTAGTTAGGGTTTGTTCTGTCTCTTTGCAGTTGTGTCTCTTTTTAGTCGTCGTATCTTAGTTGAAGAACTTAAAAGTTTTGCATCTCCTTTTGGCCATTTTGTCTGTCTTTGGTTTTTTTGGGTTTCTTTCCAGTCAATCTTAACCTCTTTGTGGTTGTTTGAAGAAGTTTTTTATATCGCTTTGTAGATTTAGTTTTTTTTCTCCCATCGTTTTAAGTTTTTTTGGCTGTTTTGTGTCTTTTTCAGTCACTTTGAATCTCTCTGAAAGTTGTTTTCTTGGTCATTCTGTGTCTAGTTTCTCTTTGCCATCGCTGTCAGTCTCTGTGAGTTTCTGCTCTCTGTCTGGTTTGTGCCTCTTTTTAGTCACTTTATTTTAGTTGAAGAACCTAAAAGAGAAATCCAGCCACTTCCTACTGAATCTTCTGGGATTACTGATGCTATACACAGATATGTACAATGTGGAACGCACCAACCAGGTCCAAGTCCAGGTCCAGGTCCAGGTCCAGGTCCGGGTCCGGCGGGGGTCCGAGGGGAGCCGGAGGAGGGAAGGGGAGGTGGTGGTGGTTGATGTGGTGGTGGTCTGACTTTCTGTTGGACATTTTCATGTCCTCCTCAGTTCTGTTTCCATCTCTATCTTCACCATCGTCGTCCTCCTCTTCCTCATCTCCCACGTCTTCATCCTCCGTCCCCGCCTCCTCGTCCTCCTCCTCCTCCTCGGCCTGCGTCCCCACGCCGACGCTCTGAGTGCGCCTCCTCACAGAGCTGTAGGAGGGCAGGTAGCCGCTGTCCCTGCTGTCGCTGAGGGAGCGGGCGTGAGGCGGCCTGCCGGCGCCCTGCTGCCCCCTGCGGGTTGGGAGGCTCATGTCGTGCCAGGGGATCGCCGCCGTCAGCGGGTCGGGCAGTTTGCCGGTGATGCTGAAGCCGCCGGTGATGACGTCCGGCGAGCGGTACGAGTGCCGGTACTCTAGGTGGGCGCGGAGGGAAGCCAGGCTGCGGAAACGCTCCTGCTCGCCACAGCGGGGGCAGCGGAACGGGAGGTCGCAGGAGGCCACAGAGTCGGAGACGGCGCCGCAGGCCTGACCGTTCCTCTCCAAGAGGAAAGAACCGGAACCTCTGGAACACAACTTCTGCTGCATTACTCAGCACCTGGAACGCCGAACAGGAGGAACATAGCAGCAATTAGTGGTTCAGCCAATTAGTCAAGACACAAACAAACATTTAATGTAAATGTAACAGAAACCGTTCAATCTCCCTCCAGAAACAAAAAGCCAAGAAGGGTCCGAGTCTCAGACACACCCAGTCATGCAGATAAATCATTCAGTTTTAACCCTACAAACATCAAGACTCACTAGCAGTTTGGAAAAGCTGCTGTCTTTAAAGAAATAAAGCTATAATTATACCACAAACTGTGCAAACACAAAGGATCTTTGGATTTTCGACTTTCCAGCAGTCCTTGTAAAGGTGACGTGAAGGAAAATCAGCCCAATCTCAGCTTCAACTGTTGATATTTCATCAAAAATGTCTTTCTCTGCAGGTCTTGCTTAAAAATTTAACATAAATAAACTGTTCACTCAAACCAGATTAACTCCTCTGCAGAACCAAGAAGTCAGGGCAGCAAAAAAAAGTTCTGGGACCTGTCGACTGAACTGCTGGCGGTGTTCATACAGAGCAGAGTGGGACGAGTATGGAAATAAAGAAAACAAGTATATAAGTACAGTGTGTGGAGTATGGACAGTCGCCTTCTTCTTCTACAGGACGACTAACACCTGTGGAACCTGAGGAAAGTGTTGTTCCAGCTTTTTGTTCAATAAGTACTTTAAGAAGCTCCAGTGTTTGATTCATGTCATTCTAGCAGTCCCAGACTGCACAGAGGACATTTCTGAGTTCTTCCTGTTTCTACTGCAGAGATAAAGGAGCCCACGGTCGATCAGTACTCTGACCACGCTACTTTTATTCAACTTAACATTATAATATGATGCAAACTTCATCTGTTATTTCCACATAAACTAAAACAAGGGAGCGACATTCAGCATTTTACTCGAATCACTTCTCAAATACTTTTTTCTGTACATATTTTAAAACTTTTATTCAAGTGAATATTTTGATGGCACCTGGTACTTTCACTTGAGTCCAACTAGTGGAAACCTTGAAGGAGATTCAGCGACAGTTTAAACACAACTGATTAGATTTCTGGCTTTTTTTCTCACATCACCTTCCTGCAGTCTTATCTGTAGCCAGAGCGGTGACCTCTGTTTAATGGCAATATGCAGGAATTCAGTAACAGTGCAGCTGCACGGAAAACTTGCTTTTATCGAGCTGCAGTGCAAAGATGTGGTTTTGATTTTTGTTTAACAGAATATATCCTACATTGCACAGTGGCCCTAGAATCCAGCCACCAACAGACATTAAGAGCTTAAATATGACTATGTCTTATAAATTAAAGGACTCCCTTTGGTAATGAGGTGTTTCAGTCATTTTTGATGCAATGCTGCCAAAAATGCTGCCATGGCTTCTCACGTACGAGGATTTACTTTTTTGACTTTAAGGTTATAATTTAAAAAAGCAAACAAAAAAACCCAGCATGAGCTGCATTCTTATACAAAATAATGACATGTATGAACAGTAAAAGTGCACTGATTGTATTGCATATAACAGTGCAGCAGTTGCAGAGGCCATTTCTTTGGATTGAGGACTTTTATTTGTAATATTTGAAGTACGTTGTTCTTATTTTCCTTGAACACTTCACTTCGTGCTTTGACTTAAGCAATGGCTGTATACTAACAGGCATGGGAACAAATCGTCATAAAAGGGTGAAAATAACTAAGATTTTTTTCTTAAAGATAAAAGTAGAAAGTCCAGAGACTGTAAGACTGTTTCCAGCCAAGTGTAATTTGAAGTCAATTCATTGTCCTTCCAAATTTAAAGGATGAAATGGCAGAACAGCCAAAGCATGTGATAATAATTTCAAAGCATCATTTATTCTGCCCACCGCTAAAACAAAGCATTTTAACACCCCTGCATCGTCATGCATTCATTATTTGGTGCATAATTAATGAAGAGATTGGATAAAACGGTGGTTTGCATTGACAATGTGTGATTTCCCAGCAGCCAGGAGGACAGATTGACTGACAGCAGGTGACCTGAGCAGGCAAACAGCTGCTTTAATCTACGAACACACAAACTAAACCGGCACGATGGATTTTATTTCACAGTTTCTGCTCAGGTTACGTACATTTAAATGTGCGTTTGAGCAGCAGAGTAACAGGTCAGTGTGTAGCATCATTAGCCGTTAGCTCCACCTGGCTGCTGCTAGCTGGTTAGCGCGCGCACACACACACACACACACACACACACACTAACAAGCGCTGAATCATTACTGGAGATGAATCAGACTTACCGTAAGGAGCTTAACGGCGGACTTTCAATCAATCACCGTTACAGTGTGAAGGCGGCATGTCGCAGGTGGAGACCGACGGCAGCCCGCATGATGTCATTCATTCAGACACACGGACGACCAGCGTCAAGCTAACGGCTACAGCTACGGCCGGTGATCCCTCCAAAGTTAAAGCTACAAGCGAGCAGCAAAACCTACAGCACATCCTGTTCGCCCCTTCTAAATAAAAGCTACACGCTAACGGTACACCAATTACACATCCAGCTCGCCTAAAAGTTTGCAGCAACGGCTACAACATCCGGTTAGTCTTTTCTACATTACAGCAACAACCTAATAGCACACCAACTACACTTCCAGCTAGCATTTTAAAATTAAAACTAAAAGTTAGCAGCAACAGCTACAACATCCGGTTAGCCCTTTTACATTACAGTTACAACCATCGACTATTAAAGATGGACGTAGCTACACTGACGTCACCCGTTGGTTTCTGCGCTGAGAAAATGAATCGAATAGAACAGAACAGAACAGAATAGAATAGAATAGAACTTTATTGATCCCTTTGATGAAGCCAGGAGCCGTGTCTCAATATGCGTACTTGTCTGTTTTTTTGTTTGTTTGTTTGTTTTTTTCAGTGCTTTATTTTGGCATAATATGCATTACATCATCATATCATCATGTACATATTATATATATAGGTAAATATTACCACAACAAAAAACCAGGGGGACCAAGGGTCAGAAAAAAAGGAAAGAAAGAACCAAAACAAACAAACAAATAAAACAAACAAACAGTCAAACAAGAGAAATAGGCCTTGCCAGTAATGTACCTAGATAGCGTGTGTTATTGTTCTTAGAGAGGGGCTATGTTGAGCCTCTCAAAGATGCACTTTGTTTTCATGGCTTTTTTATTTTTACTGTCTTTTATTGACGTTGCATGTTGGTGGAGTTCTTGGGTGAATTGTTCCAGGCTGGGTTTGGATTCTGCCCATTTTTTTGTAGATGTGGAATTTGGCCATGAACAGCATCAGTTGTACAAAAAATGTTGTGTTTTTGTCCATTTTATTGTTTTCAAAAAAGATAAAAATGTCCTTTTCCTGTAGAGCGATCACTTGTCCTGTTGTTCTTCTGATGAAGTGTTGAATGTCCATCCAGAATATTTTACATACATTTATAAAACAGGTGCTGTATTGTTTCGTCTTCCCTTCCACAGAAAACACAGAGAAGGTCCATACCAATTTTAAACCTCTCCAGAGTCTTTTTTGCTGGATAGATGTTGTGCATTATTTTGAAAGAAACTTCCTTTACTTTGTTTCCAATACAGAACCTTTCACACAC